TACCATCAAAAAATAATATCTAGATAATTGACAAGAGAGAGAGAGAGAGGAGATATTAAAGCATACATCATTTCGTAAACGACGAATAAATGACATGTTGAGGCCATAATGGAAATTCCATATTTCTGCTTCTACCCAAGCATTATCCGTATTGCGAACATCGTCAATGTAGCCTAGAAAAGAGAGAGAGAAGATCAAACAAAGAACTAAGAAATTCACCTCTATAGATTGCATGTGATTTGAAACCAGCCGTTCGTTCACTGTTGTCATTCTTACGAGCATATGACTCAAAGCACTGAAAGTGAACTTACTTTTGTAAGAAAAACTCAGACGTTGATCTCACCTCGATCATGCCTTGTTCTTGTAAAGGCACAATGAGTTCTGGATCGTCTTTTTGAAAAGCAAGTTTGTTAAAACTTTGACACAAAGCACTATACGGTGATTCAACACCTAAAATATTACCCTATAGACATACAAAAATCTATACTGATAGAATCTATTCGATGATTGACAATAATACTGACGACGGGGAGTTTCCAATCATTTGTTATTTTATCTTTAAATACCATTGCTTCAAGAATTCGTTGTCCATCTACAATAACAAATTGATCATGATGTCGTTTCCAACGAGTGATGATGGCCATTATGGACTTATTTGGTCCCCATCGAATGAGAGCACCACGACCACGTACACCAGTGCGACCCATTGGATTTCTACATTGAGTGTCAATTTTTGATTGATCTTCTGTTGAACTCAATTTTAATCTGATCAAATAGAATAATACTCAAAACAATATACAATTCAATTTCATATACTCACAAATTAGATTCAACAAAGGGTCGTTCATCGTCTTGAAAACAAATGTGCTCTTTTGATAATATGATCAATGTAGGATCATAGAGATCGTATGGAACCTAAAACTTCCGTGAAAATTAAAAAAAAGAACCGATCATAATTTACCGCCCATGAAATGTATTTTTTAGCAACTGGAAAACGAGCTTCATTAGTATAGATATAGGGTGATTCACGTGATAGAACATGAATAATTTTTTGACATTCAACCAATGATTTATCTTCCTGATGTATTTGTACATGCGATTTGATCATCAACTTTTCTAATGAAAAGATACGATCGTTGATTTGTCGTAAAGAATTTTGTAGTACATCCATAGTTTTTTGCCCATTGATCATACTAAATTATACGACAAAAAACAAAATATAATAACGACAAATGTGTCTTCCATTCAATTACCTGTTCCAAATATGGTTAACTTTTTCTTGAACTTCATCGGTTTCTTTCGTTTTAGCATAGTATTCTTTAGCTTTATGTTTCCAATATAAATCTGCTTCGCCAAATTCCAAATTTTGTATTGCACATTTCTATAAAACAATATCAACATAGAGAAGGTAGAAAGTCTTCATCTTCAAAGCTACGCACTTTTTCGTCCCTCTCGTGCTCGGTTATTTTTCGGCAAGGTTTACAACTAAGTAATCGTCCAAGTAACGATTGATCGATATCAGATGTAGTCGACGGGATGGCAAAGTCAATAAGAGGTAATCCTTCTGTATTATTCGTTGACGATGGTAATTGTCTTCGTTGAGAATTATTATTTTTATCCAAATATTTTTTCAATTTGATTAGACATCGACGAGTAATACTGGAAATGAGCATGTCTTTAAATTAATGAAAATATGTATGAACATAATGCCTGAATAAAAAGAATAACTTCTCATTACCAATATATGAAATGAAAACAAATGGTGGTGGTAGACGAGTTCGTTTTGCATATTCCATCACGATTTCATATCGATAATAGATCAACATTTGTTCCGATTGACTTTGCAATCGTGCTCCTGTCAAACTATATAGACAAATAACTGATTTGATTTGATGACAAAAAGATATAGCTACCTGAACATCGCCGTCAAGAGTGAAATGAGAAATCGTCTGGCCAAAAAAAAGTACTGAATGAGAAGAAACCATGCAACCCACGATGTTTGATTGCAAGCAGTCGATGATATTCCATAACGATTGTACGCATCGAGATTATCATCTGCAAATCTTTCATTATTATCGACTAAAATTCATTCGTTCTTTTTTCGATACTCACATTTAAACGAACGACCATGTGACAATCGAAAACAGGAATATTCTCTATCAGTTTTATCCGTTGCATTAATCGAACATGATTGATGTTGTTTTTTAAAATCGATCATTTCACTACTAAACAATGCCATAAGACCACGAAATACAAATGCTTTGCTGAACAAATTCAAGTTGAGTGGATGATGAGGATAGAGAACAGCTGTAATGGCTGCACCTGATGATATCAGGAAAATAGCGAACAATTGTAGAAAAGTAACGAAATCGCCCATAACCTGAATACTACTCAATGGACGAGATTGAAAAAAAAACTTGGATGAGACCTACCATGTGTCGTAGTCGAATCATCAATGGACCAAATCTTGAACTTATCGGTAAAAAGATGTACACTATTCGAATACAGTAATAGATCAATCCGATACCCAAAACAGTCTTGGCTGCCAAAATTTGGCAAGCTTAACGAGAGAGAAGGTGAGAAAATATTTGATATCGAGAATTCTTACTGCCGAACAGCCATAAGCCCATAATGCGTATAGTGAGATAGAGTGCAAGAAATATTGTCTGTACAATGATTTCAGTTAGAGCTCGCCCGAGACGTAAAATACTCTGAGACTGAAACTTACACGTGTGATGGTGATCGTACAAGCATGTACAAGCATGAAACTTACGCGATATTTGTTGTAGGTAACACGAACCTCTTCGCATACGATTGATGCCGTCCAAAACCAAACAAAAGAATCGAGGAATAAATTGCCACATGATGGCCAAAGCACAGCTAATGTAAAAAAGAATAAATAGAAAAGATAGGCAATGAAAGCCATAGAAAATTTGGTAATCGGTGCATTCCACAATGTTTTGATTTTTTTGATGAAATTCATTGGTGAAGTTTGATTAATCTGTGAAAAATCAATCCAAAACCATATAGGAAATATGAGAGAAGCACTGGTGATAATCTAGATAATTCATACAGAATAAGGAAGGATAAATATTTTGACGATTTACTTTGAAATAATCGGAACACATGAAAAAGCCCCAAGTGAGATTCTGCGGTGCAATTTCACCATAGAATTGTCGAATGATCCATTTTTGACAAATAGCATGTGCCATAAACTCTTTATTTTCAGTAAGGTATGCCAATTCAACGATGGTCATATCATTCCAACCCTATTCTCTTTAAAAAAAAAAGAGTCTTCGAATGAATCTATATTTACTGGATATTTTTCATCGAGCATCTCCAATGCACGCAAACTATCTTCGTTGAATGATTTGTTGAGTACTTCTACAGCACAATCTGAAAATGCTCTACAATAACATTGATTGTATATCTTCTTGTAAAAGAATAGAAATAAAAGATAAGCTCACTTAGCCTGTTTTTCGATTAATACCCGTTCAACGGATCCACGATAATAGAATGCCAAGTTTTTGAACATCATATAACAGATCAATGCCATTTGAATCGGTTCCGTTGAACGTTTCCAAAGAATCATGGCCAGTTCATGTCGATTCATTAATACTGCATAGATAATCAAACATCGAAGAGCCTAAGGAAATGCTCTTTTTTCAATTAACCTCAATCAAAATGTTTTTACTTTTTTCTCTGCGCGTATTCTTTGTCGTTGAATTTCTTTATCTGATGTTTGACCAAAATAAACTCCTATGGCATAACAATCCATTTCACGTCTCCTAAAGAAATAATCGATACGTGTTAAACGTTTAATGATGATATTAAGACCATGTTCAACAAAATCTTGTGGCACTTTTTCTTCATCCTATTCAAAATAAAATCAATTTTCTCGAAAGTTTTTATATTTACTCTAGTTAAACCAAGAATTCCTTCGAGTGATGTAGTTGTGAAGAATTCTCGATCTTCAGCTTCATTAAACAAACAAACTAATTTATCAGATGTCAAATATCGATGTAAAAAGAATTCTTGATCAAGAAATAAATCGACGAATGGTTCGAGTTTCTTGCCTAACACGGCTTTATCGAATAAATCTGTTGGTATGGAATATTTCATATCATCATGTTGAAAAATTTCCGACAAAGCTAAATCCGGTAGATTCCAATCGAGTGTTAGACGAAGATTTTCTTCCAATTGAAAATTCTCCTTAATTTCCATGGCCTTTTTTTGTGCTAAAATTGAAAATGAAATCACTGAAGAGAAATGACAATGATTGAACATACACTGTAAAAGAGTGGAGAGAATATATTTATGAAAATAATTTAACGATGATGTTGTGCTATTCACATCGACGAATGTGAGGAATTTGCGTTTGTCTTGATCGGCTTTTTTGACAATGTAGATAATATGATCACAAATTTCATTTCGTTTCACATTATTATCTTTCAAAGCGGAATATTCTTCGAGTAAACGTCGTGATAATTCAACCTTCAAATAACTATCTTCATATTCTTTATAATTTCTAAATAGAAAATTTCGATCATATGCAGATCGAATGAAGATCTTTCGTTCGCTTTACTTTGCACTGATTTCTTCGTAAGCGAAAGCGATAATGTCCGCAGCTGATCCAGTTCCTTTGAGAATCACCACTGGGACTTCTTGTTGAATTTTTCGGTATAAAAGTTCGATTGTTCCCGGTGTTCCACGCACGAATATACATACCATTGGAAATCCATTTTTACTCCATTGATTCGGTTCTTCCGATGTCGCTGTCGCATTGCCATCTGAAATGCATCAATGAAAACTTATTTTCTCTATGCAAATTTTCTTTATACCAGGGGTAGCTGGTGGAATTGTTGTTGCTGCTGGCAATTGTTGTTGTGATATACCTTGGTATAAAAAATCTTCAAAACGATCACGAAATCGATTCGTTGCACTTTCTGCTGAATCGATTAATTTTTCTAATTGTTTTTCACCCATATTGCTGACTGGAGGTTTTATTTCGAAATTATTATTCGAATTCATACCAATTGGTTTTTCACGGATGATGATAAAGTGTGTATGATCACTATTTAAGGATAATTTATGACGCTTTCGTCGCGGAACTTTGACTTCCTATTCGAAAGAAAAATCGAATGAAATTTTCGAAAAGAAAATTCAAATACCATTTTGGATTTATCTTTTGCTGTTTTAAAATCCAGAATATCTTTGATTTCATCACTACATACAATACCAATTAAAATAAGTGTTTTCCGTTTTTTCGGTTCTCGTTTCATCTTTATTGTCCATGCATCATCTTCTCTTCTCATTGACTAATTAACAACAAGAAAAAAAAGTTAATTTCTGAAAAAAACCCTATTTCACATACAATTTCATCTCGAAAAGCATCTCCAATTAATTGTGGAACACCTGTTGTGAGACCATTGGTAATAAACCATACTTCCGATGCATTGGCAGCCTAAATTGATCTTCAAATACGAACTAATCTGAAAATAATTTTACATACATTTTTGATACCATTTTTTAAGGTTTCAGTTGTTTTCAAACTTTTGAATGGTTTATTATTGGTTACACCACTTAAAACCGGAATAACAATATTCGCTGGTTGTAATTTCCATTCATTGATCATGAAATATTGTAGAGCATCTAAATCAATACTATCATCAACATAGAGAAATGGTCGAGCCTAGAAGAACATCTCGATTGGATCGTTCATTCAAACAAATCAAATATTTTACTTCATTTGAATAATTATTTAGCGAATTTTCGAATTTTAATGTTCCCCAAAAAGCTCCATATTCTTGTTGAATATAATTATCAAATTCTTCTGGTTCTAATGTTGATGGTGAACAAAGAAATTTTGATTCTTTCGAGATCGGACTTTTTGAATACACCAAACTTTCTTGTGTCGTCAACGCAATCATCTAGAAGAGAAAAAAACAAGTATTGTTTAATCAACTTGATTACACGTGCTAATCGTACTAGGTTTAAAATATTCTCATAGCTCGATACTCGCCGACAATGAATACCTGACAAACACTTCACCTTTTCTTTTCGTTTTTTTTTCTCTTCTCTTTCCTCGTTCGTTTTTTTTCGTCACAGTATACTTGCATCAATGATTTTTTTGATATATATGTACATGTTTCATACTGACAAACTATCTGCATATTTCTCTCTATCTTGTTTTTTCGATGTCTTTTTTTTTGCTTTAATCGTCGAATATCTTTATTGTCTGCGTATCTAGACTGTCTCTGCGATGTAAGTAAAACGCATAGCGAAAGAAAAAAGAGAGAAGGACAAAAAAATGGTGAGTATAGTAAATATAAATACCATGATCTGGATTTCGTCTTATTTCAAAGACTAATTAAATGGCAATAAAATCTACACTGAGGAAATTCACAATCACATAAATTTTCAAGAATCAAATTAAATTGTCCTTGAAAATCGATGAAATTTGGAATTTCCTCACTGTAGTAAATATTACTTATTGAGTTGGAATAACAGGTCACCACAGTGCGTGTCGTCCTAAGTTCATGGAGTCATCTGGTTGTTTATCAGAAATCGGCATGGATATGATAATAACAGGCTTCGTAGCGGTTCTTCGTAAATGAATAGGAATATATAGAATTAAACAACACTTATATAGAATTTTCCTAATAATATAGGAAAAATATAGGACAGCCTGCTTTTCTGACAGAACACTTTAAAAGATTTGAGAAATACTACAGTAATGCGTAAAAACATACACAATCTACATCTCAAATTAAGAGATAATTTCTAGAAATACAAGCTCGACTCGTTGCAAAAAAGGATAAAGCTATTTTATCTGGAAAGTTAAAATAAAGTAATGGTTTCTGTTGGATTTATTGACAAGCGATTACTAATACGTATGCACATATTCATAAAACAAGTTAAAATAGGAAAGTTAACCAAGAAGAAAAATAGTTGCGTATTGTTTTTTTCAGCTTGAATTATCTGTTTTTTTCCTATTCTCATGTGATGCATGTAAGAATTTTCTAATCAACATATACATAAATATGACAAATAATCATAAGATGAAATGTATTTTTTAATCGACGGAGATCATTAACGTAACTGTTCTTTTTGGCCTTTTTGTTATTCTCCAACAAACGATTTCTTATTTTCTCATAAAAAACTGGGTGAGCTTCTAATGAAATGAGGAATACAACGGATAGGAGACGTTTTCTGCGTCTTTTAGCCCAATTACATAGGACATGAATTTTGAGCTGAAATTTTCAGCAATTGTATGGCCCATAGCTAGTCGTCAATCCTATAAGTTTCAGCTCAACCGATCAATCTATTGTCATAGCTTGCTACTCGACCAGATAGGCTCTCTCGTTACTATTGAGTCACTATTGGAGGATCACAGAATGACTCATTTTCAAAAGACTTTTTACGATACTTGGTAGATCATTTATATACCATTTGATAGAGAATTTAATTCTGAATAAAACTGCATAATTGATATTAAGGGAAAAATCAAAAATTAATTATCAAAAGTTAAGAATACTTCCGGGCTAGTGTCATATATAGGCTATGTCAGAATATTGTTTACCTTCGTTCTACACTATAACAAGCAGAGCCCGAGTGATTCTTTCACCATCAATGACAATCATCTAGAGCTACAAAACTGATAATGCAAGGGTTTTAAAAAACTTGCCTTCTGCCTATTGTCAATGACATACCACCCCCAAATATGGTTAAATATACATCCTATAGTGAACATTGTTTATCTTTGTTCTGCGCTCTACACTTCAGAACCAGAGCCACTTTTTATCATCAATGACAATTACCAAGAGCTATAAAACTGATAATGCAAGAGTCTATAAAAAAAACTGTTTTCTATCTATTGTCAATGATATACCATCCCCAATATGAGTCAATATACCCTATAGCGAATATTGCGTACCTTCATTCTCCACTATAAGATGTAAAACCGGAACCATGTTTTCATCACCAATCGCAACCATCTATTGTCACAAAGTTATTAAGACAAGAGTCTGCAAAAAATCCGTCTTTTCCCTATTACCTACAAGGCAGAGCTAGGCAAAATACTCGAAGTACTCGTACTCGAGTACGATTTTGATGGTACTCGTACTCGTACTCATACTCGAAAGTCAAGTGCTCGAAATTCTAAATAATTATGCATTATATTAAAATGATGCTTGATAAAATTATAGTATCTTTCCCGAGGATGCAATACACAACTGATATCTTTTTTTTTATTCTTTATATACGTATCCAGATAAATATAAAGACGTCTTCCCAGGATTTAACAACTGGCGTACTCTTTCTTTTTTATTCTCCTTCACTAGTAATATAGTCTTTAATTAGTAACCAATGAGTGTTTGTATATTATTATACAGTTTTCCTTTCCTTTTGTATGCATAATTCATTCTTACTGAACAAGATACATTCGTTGTTCGTGTATTATTATAGCTCAATTATTTGATTTACTATTGTAAACATTTATTTAATTATTTATATTTATTATGGATACAAATTCGATTATCACAAAAGGTGAATCAGAATCCGTCATCGTGGTAAATGATGATGTTAATGGACCACCTGTTATTCAGAAATTTTTTTCAAAATTGAATATTAATATTGAAAAGAATCGATGAACTTGTTGCTGCAATATTTGTTCATTATCAGTTACAGATACATATAAAACAACTTCGAATTTTTTAAAGCACATAAAAACTAAACATCGATTAGCATTTGATGAATGGAAAGATAAACAAGACCAGGTAGTGAATGAACAAAATCAGCCGAAGATTACAAATATTTTTAATCGAGAGAATGAAAAATGTAAGTATACACCTATCTTAAATTACATCGTAATTGAATTAGGAAAAAAATAGTGAGAAAAGACTAGAATTGAGGCGATAAACTTTGTTTCGTTTATAAAGAGAGATATGTTACTATGATTTCATTTTGTATCTTCTATAAAGATACAAAGATAAGGAACTTTTTTTAATTTTAGATTCGACCAATAATAAACGTCAACAGCTCCTCACCAACAGTCTTATTCGAAATCTTATTATTAATATGAGTCTTCCATTATTAATAGTCGACAATGAATCGTTTATGAATTTTATGTTAGATGTTGATCCAAAGTACAAAATGATTAATAGACGTGATATTACACGTTCGTTTCTTCCTATTATGTATAAAAAATGTATAAAAAAGCTACAGGACATTTGTAATCGATCAAAATATATTAGTCTCCCTCTTGATATATGGAGTGATCGTAGAATGCGTAGTTATTTTGGCATTACACTTCACACAATTATTGATGATCAATATAAAACTTATGTTCTTTCGTTCGAACGTCTAAAAGGTAAACATTCTGGTGATAAACTTGCTGCTGAATTTGATCGTGTTATACAAATGTACAATTTAAAGGATAAACTTGTTAGAATAGTTACTGATAATGCAAGTAATAATCAAGCTGCATTTGATAATCTTATATTACCCGGTTTTGAAGAATATTTTAATGATATTGATGATGATCAATCTGAACGTGAAACAAGTGATGAAGATAGTGATAATAATGAATTGTACGAAAATAGTCAATTACAAGCAGAAGAAGTAGATGATGACATATATGAAACAACACTTAATGCACCAGCTGAACAAGAATTTTTACGATTACCATGTTTTAGTCATTGTCTTCAACTTGTTGTTAATGATGGAATTAAAGCTGCTGGTGGTGCAATCATCTCTTAAAAAAGTAGCGGATCTTGCTAAACTTGCACATACAAGTACATCATTTGCAGAACGTTTAGAAGAACAAAAGTACAGTATTCCTCTTGCTAATCGAGCTCGATGGAATTCACAATTTCAAACTGTGAAGAAAGTTATTAGTATTCCATCCTTCATTCTTAACTCCATTTTAACTGATTTAAAAAATAATAATCTTATTCTTAATACTAAAGATAGAAAAATTTTAGAAGATTTTGTTTCTTTATTTGAACTGTTTAATGAAGCTACTGTTCTAACACAAGGTGAATTTTATGCTACTGTTAGTCTTGTTGCACCTACTATTCTTGGTATTCTTTTTGATTTTGAGCGTGAACATGCTTCTTCAAATTTATCTCTTGTATCTGTGTGTGAAGCACTTCTTTCATCTCTGAAAGCTCGATTTAGTGGACTTCTTCGTCATTTCGAAATTGATGTATCATTTACTTTTTATTCCATGTCTGAACGTTTTTCTGATCCTGTCTTTCTAATTGCACCACTTCTAGATGCACGTTTTAAGTTGTTATGGCTCGATAATCTTCAACTTGTGATAAAGTTACGTGTTATCGAAAAAATTTACAGTACTTTTGTTCGTTTTTTCTCAAAATTGAATTTTTCTGTATCACAACCAGAAGGAGCTGATGAGTCGAGCGTAGCTGAACAAGATATTACCGATATGATGACAAAACATGTTGATCCAACAACAAAAAGAAAATGTCTTTTTCCTTACTTAAATGATACAAAAAAGATTTCATTTGATGACAAATCGAAAGTTTTGGTAGAGCTTGATGCTTTTCTATCGGAAAGAAGCAATGAAAATAATTTACTTTTTCTCAAGAAAAATCTTTATCCTTCTCTATATGAACTTAGTCTAAAATACTTGTCAGTACCGGCTACATCAGCTCCTATTGAAAGAATATTTTCTAAAAGTGGTTTTATTATGCGTCCACATCACGCATCGTTAACCTCAAAAAATGTATGCTTACTTACTTTTCTTAAATGCAATAGCGTTTTGTTGTAATTTTATTGTTTAAAACTTTATGATGAAAAAAATAAGAATAAACATATTTTGATTCATGACTTTAACAATGTTTCGATCTCAAAATTAATACATCATTTTTAAAACTATCAATTAAATTTTTTCTAATGAGATCTTAGGAAATTCACTCTTATGTACTCGTACTCGAGAATTCGATACTCGTACTCATACTCGTACTCGAGGGTTCGGTACTCGTACTCGAAAAAGTCCGTACTTGCCCAGCTCTGGTGTAAACAGTAACTTACAAAGATCCCAACTGAATCGTTATGATTTATCAAGATCATGATTATAATTGGTATAGTCTTGCAACCTATGGAGATGTTCATTCTTGAACAATTCCGAGCAGAATCCTGATTAAAGCTTGGCAGAATGAGTCAGGTTCAGATTAGGGCTGATCTTGTCATTTTTTTGCCAAGATCCTCGTTAGATATACTTTTAAGTCCTCACAGGATTCTACTACGAAGATCTAGTCTAAATCCTGGTGGCAAACTATCAAAATCTTGCCAAAAGCTTCTCTGACAATCCTGTCAGAATCCTTAGTAGAATTGCGAATAAATCTTTATAGGATCTTGAATTGTCTCTTCAGAAAAATATGTGATCAAGATCCTTGAAAAATCTTGAACATGATCCTGTTTAATTTTAAGAGATTCTGGAAGCAGGAATTGTTAGGAGTTGAGATAGGATCCTGAAAAATCCTTCCAGGCTTTCTCAAGGAATGAACAGGATTGAGACTACGGGATTGTCTGCGAAAAAATGACACATTAGATTCATAAAAAGACTAGGAAGAAAATGTAAGTGATGGCGGAAAAGAGTAGCAGCAACTACCGCGAAAAGGGGAAAAAACGCGTGCGTTTAAAAAAAAAATGACTCATTTTAACGAGTTCTTATGTTACAATGTGTTTTAACGTGGTAAATATTTCGTAATAACGCGCTTAAAAGCATTTTTTGATGGTCTTTACTGCCTGGGTAGAACATGTGTATTTCCACCTTTGATGCTGACACATATATACAAACAGACGCACTTTATTTCATGTCACCCACCCTACAGTCGAAGGAATATGTTAGTCAGTTACAAGTAAACTTTGGACTATCAGCTGTTGGTTGGGTGAATATCTCATAAGAACCAATCAGCACCTTATGTCGCTTCGGTCTTCGGCTTCTACTTCGGTCAATTATTATCACCCAAAAAAAAATATATATCGAGGATTATATTTAAATTCATTTCGAAAAATCTCAGAATAAATTGAAATATTTCATTTTTTTCCAAAGAGGTTTAAATAAGTATTTTATCTATAAAAATAGATACTATCCGTTATTTAGCGTCCTCTTTCATTATTTATCTACATTTGAACATGTATGATGCCAATAGTATATGCCAATACTATATACCAAAATAACATGTTTATTTGATTGAAATCAATATTTTTCACTTTTATCAATATTTTAATGATGTGTTGCAGAGCTGATCATTTACATGGCAACAACTCAGAATAGCATTACTGTAAAATCTTTTTCCTATTAGTACTAACGTTACTGGCACTTGCTGCTATGAAAACTGGCCAACTCTGGTGTAGATCTAACTAGTTTGCGTAGCAACTAGTATCAATCAGCTTCCTATCAATAGAAAAATTAACTGACAATAACGCTATTCTTAATTGTTGTCGTGGTGATATCCAGCTTTGATGTGTTGAGATTTAAAGTCTAATCTATTACTATTGATGATATTCTTCAGAATATTATTTCAGTTTTTAATTTATGAAATCCATTGATTAATTTGAGTTGAATTTTTAAAATTCAATTTAATTTTATCATTGTTAATTGATTTCTAATATGAAATATTCTATTAAATATTGAATGACCACTAGTTGACAAATAAAAAACTAATCTTGATCAATGATTATTGTTTGATTAAAAAAAAACATAAAAATCATCGTTTAACATTTTATCTATCCTTCAATATTTTATGTATGTTATAAATATGTAGTTTTCGTTTGAAAATGAAAAGAAATCTGGGTATTATAAATTAATCCAGCATTTGATCGAAATATTCAGCACTTATTTTTTTTTACAAATATTTCACTTAAAGGTATCATTGAAAAAAATCTTTTTTCTTTTTAGTAACCTTTATTTTATTTCAATTTTAGATCATTAAAATAGAATTATTTATTTTTTGTTTTTAATTGTTAATATTACAATTTATTGACTAACAATCATGATAATTATATTAAATAATAAATAAATCAGCAAATCTAGTAAAATAATTTAGATAACTAAAAAATGTTGAAATCTTTCATAAGTCCATTAGAATCAACAGGTAAAAATTGTCGAATTCAATTAAGTGGTCTTGATTTATGGATAACATTACGTATAACTCGTTTATTTGTTTATCCAAAGGAAATAAATATTGATAAATTAAAAGAATCAGTTAGTCGTGCATTATCGATATGGCCAATAATGTCTGGTCGTTATATAGTTATTGATAATGATAAACATTTTATTGAAATGTCTGATAATCCAATTCCATTTTGTTTTATTAAAAATGATTTATTAGATAAATCTCCATTTGATTCAAATATGATTTTAAATGTTATTGATTGTTCATATTTATCATTCATTGATCCAATAGATGTTGATAAATTAGTAGGTGGTTCATTAGATGAACCATTATTACGTTTAAAATTAACACATATTGAAAAATCAAATGAATGGATTATTGGTGTAAGTGGATCACATATTGTTGGAGATGGTGATACATTTTTAAAATTTTTTAATCAAATATCACGTTTTTATCAAGATATTTATACAATTGAATTTTATCCTATATTTGAAAGACATTTATGGAATAAAGATGATTTTAATCAATCAATTTTATCTCGAATAAAATATGTTAGTGAATGTCGATCATGTGAAGAAACTCAAAAAAAAATATTTGATGATCAAAAAAATCTTTATCAAATTAATTTAGAATTTTCAAGTGAACAAATTAATGAATTAAGATGTTTAGCTGATGATGGAAATCAAATAACAAATCAAGATGCTCTTATAGCATATATAATATCAACATTAAATAGATATTGTTATCCAAAAACAGATCAGAGACATATATTACATGCAACAACAGTTATTAATTTTCGTGGTGTTTCAGATTCTATTGCTTCAAAAGATTTCGCTGGTAATGGATTTTTTTTATTAACATCTGATGATTTTGAAGATTCTGAATCAATATTAAATATAGCTAAAACAATTCGTCAATCTATAAATCAATCACGAGATCCAATCTATCTTCAATCGTGTCTTTCAACTGTTGATCATTTAATGAGACAATTAATTAACGATAATAAATCATCAAATGTTTTCTTTTTTAATAATGATATTTTTATTAATTCAAATTATCGATATGATTGGATTAATCTTGTTGATTTTGGTTATAAAGATCAATGTCGATATTATTCACCATGGACAGGTAGATTATATATAAGTGTTTCTCGTTTAAATCCTTTTTTTGATGGAAATAATTGGATACGAACAGATAAAAATGGTGCTTATCTTGCTTTTCTTATTGAAAATGATATGAAAGATTTATTTATTAATGCTTATAAAAACGATATTCAACAAAGTTTTCAATATGTTAAATTATAATTATATTTATCTTATTTTATAGAATTAAATTATTCAAATAATTCATTTCATTTCAGTTTTTTTAATATTATTAATCTATTTATTAAAATAAAATTTCAACAGATTCTATTTATTAGTTATACATTCACTTAGAATGATTTATTTTTTTAAAGGAGCTTGTCGGATAAGATAACAAATCTAGTACCCAAGGACTCAACACTTTTGATTGTACCATAGTGGATTACAGGAAGGTCTTCTGTCTGAGAGGTAGTATGCCATATACGTACATTTTCGCATGATCACACATGCATGTTGTGACTCATTATAGATTCGTATTTCTTGACTAATATTCCAATCATAATATACTAAAAGATGCAGCTGAATCTCCTCTACAAATGGTTATAAATGATCAATAATCGAGAGAACTAAAGTACAACAAAACGGCACGTCAAACCTAAGACAAATATCCTATTGACACTGTTTTTCTCAGAAAATCGAACAAAAATGCTTTCAGTATATTAGACCGTTCTTCCTTATAATTCAAATGACAAACTTGAAACTTCCATAGAAATTTCTCTAAAAGTTATCTACAAAATGAGCTACAACAATTAAAATAATAGAATGTAGTGAATTTTGAGAGTGTAACGGCATGATATATTTTTCATTTTATTGAGAAAATACATCTATTATAGAAACTCATGAATTTTTGACTTTACTTGAAAGTTATCATCATATGAACTACTGAAAAACCAAATAACTTGTACACTTTTGTACACTTATAACAAATACATGACCATTTTCTTTTTTGACATCACACCAAACCTCAATAACATATCCAACATCATCTGTATTAGAGATTATTGTATGTCGGATGATGTTGCTCAATTTATTTTGTTTGGTTTAATTTATTTATTCATATACATTGTAGTTATAATGAGTATTTCAATATGTAATAATATCTATCGCATGTTGCGTTGGATATGTGGGTGTGGGTGTTGGCGTAAATTGAGATCAGTCAACACCCACATCCAATCGCATATTTTTAATGTGACTTTGTTCATTCACAATTGTTTGAATAACTGCTTTTATATATACTATCAAAGTTTTATTTATAAGAAAAAAAAATATTTTTTTCTTTTTCTTTTTTTAAATTATTTCGCGCTTTCCGATCTCAACTGAATTCTCATGTCAACTGTGGCAGATATAAAGGGATAGGTATAACGGCATAGGTATAAAAGTATAAGTATAAGGCTAATGGAACAACTTTTAAGCTTGATAGAACGATTTTTCTTATTTCTTCACTGGACCCGTTTTCAGACACAACCATTTTAAAGGGTTCTGTCTTTTATCCAATAGCAGAACCCCCAAAAAGGTTCTGCAAAACTACATTTTTTGCAGAGTACAATGATTACTAGCAAAAGTCATTTGTCTGTTAAGAATAGGCCGAAGATCTGTGACAAATATAGTATCAATAGATTCGTAAAAGAAATGGTTTTATCCAATCCATCATATGTGATTTTGCTTGCATAACTTGACACAAGTTGTGGTTATAATTACTGTTTTGAAATTTGGTATACTTGACAAAATTTGCACAAAGAGAAATGCTTAATTGTCGAGATAGACATTTGTTGGTCGTCTCCACTTATAAATACAGTATATTTTTAAATGAAGAAAATAAATACTCTTATTCAAATTCTAATGGAATTGAGAGAAAAAATTAATTAGAAGGTTTCAAATATAACTAGATTGCCATGTATAAATGTCAAAAATACTTTTCTAAGCTACCTACAGACAAAAAGCATCTTTCTCATTATTTCAGCTGCTCAAACATATTTATAGATATCACTATCAACAGATCATATTAACGTCAATTAAAGATGTGCCATTTTGTATTAATTCGACATAGTGAAATGTTTTTATCATCTGGGGTAATGTTGATTATAGGTGGTATAAGGGTTGTAAATTCACTGGAGTGAAGTTAGCAGTGGATTCGAGTTTTTCTTGCTAATATTCGCTCTGGATCTTAGGTTGAGTCTCTAACTGATTGAACTATATAGAGAGTTCAATTCTGCATCGAATGATGGCATTCTCGAGGACTCATCGGACTCAAAAAAACTGAATTCTGTCGTATTTCCGCTTTGAATATGGGCGATTTCAGATTTTTCAAGTGATTTCTCGTTTCTCGCTCCCACAGTTCTACTCCAAAGTTGCCATCCTCACCCACCCTCAGCAGGATGCGTAGTCCGAAATGATTGGCATAGATAGTTTATTTCGAAAAAAAAGCTGTAAAATAACCGAATCAGTTACATTTTTCGTCGAAATTTTCTCAAAAGTTTACATAGCATACTTCCGTGTCCATTGACGTGCAATTTTATTATATTTATCACGATCAAATCGATAGAGATGTACGGCTTCAGGATTAGCTGGATCATCGGTATTTGGATCGTCCAACAGCGAACATGTTGATAATAATAGTTTGGAGATTGTGAGAGCACGTTGATTTCCATGCATATATTACCATTTGAAAATACATTTGAATGAAATACTTTCGCGATAAATATAAAGTTCGCTCGTTTGATTGAATAGTCTACTGGAAAGTTTATATCAAGAAAGAAAACACCTCCTTGATAAGGAGTACCACGAGGACTCAATATTGTAGCTTGCCAACGAAACATATCATCCGGATAATATGGTCCTGCATTAACATACTCTGGTGTATCTTGTTTTATATCTTTCAGTTCTTTCATAATGCATGCTAAGGCCATTGGTGTTCTTCTTAAATGAGATTCAAAAGGCAATTTCTGCTAAAAAATTTATTGTTATGGGTTCAGTAGAAATCGATTTTAACTTAGTCTTCTCTTGCAAAATTAGAGGTCGACGCAGAGCTTCTCATGTAAAAAATCATATAAATTTAATGCTACCTTTTTGACCATGAAAACACTTAAAAAAATATGTTTTTTAACGAAGTCTTACGCATTATTTCGCGTTAAAATGGAATCAATCTAAAGTAGCTTATCAGACTTCGTTAAAAAGCATATTTTTAATGGGTTTTCACGATCAAAAAGATAACATTAAATTTTGTTAAATCGTTTAATTTATATAAATTTTTACATGAGTTACAGCATCTCTATTTATAATTCCATAGAGACGATAAAATTGTGGATCAATTTTCTATTTGTTGTGTAACTATTAGCATGTAAATACAGAACGGTCATCAGGCTTAGCTCAGCTAACTTCCTATTTGTTAGTGATGGAGATCGGCCGAAAGTTGGATCACAATAAAAGAGCACATGTTGATGGAGATATTTTTTGCTGCTAATGATAATAGTTTTTGAGTTCATAATGTCATAGCCTAAAAGAAAGCCTTGGTGACTAATAACAAGGATATGACTTTAACTTTCGATCAGACTATCTCATATTCTGGTAAAATATTATGAAAAGACCTCACGAAATATCTTCTTCTTGTACACATTTTGAAAGTTGACGACAGTGTTCGTTGGTTTTTTTACTCTTTGACGACAAGTTTCTTTTAATAGAGAGAAAAAAAAGCAAGGCGATAAAGTGAAATGTTATGTTCTATTTTTTATAGTGTTAAAGAAATAATGAACCATAGAAAGCAGTTGAAATTAAATGTTTATGCAAAATCAAGAAGAATACATAATGCTTTCAAATTTATTGTAAAAATAATCAAATTTTCTTCGTTGTTAAGAATATTCTTCTATAGAAAAAGCATTTTTCTTTGCTTAGAAGAGAAATATAATGCATATTTTAAAAACTTTTTGATATGTAATATCTTTTGAGAGAAACTACATGGTGGCGATTATGAGAAAAAAGTACTACATGGTATTAGAATTCTTCTGCTAACCTATTTTCAAATACTTAAGTATCAAATCGAACTCCTTATTCCAATAACGATAATCAAACTATTAAGCATGCGTATCAATCAAAACTCATATCGATTAAGTTAGGAAGTTATATGATTGACTTTCAATCTCAATTACAAATAAATATGAATGATCGCAATAGAGGCAAACCAATTAAATGTGAATTCATGTCTCTATCAGCAGAGATCTAGAGGAATACGGTGGTACTTTTGCAGTAGAATGGCAAGAATGTGAAACGAAAAATTACTTCGAAAATCTGGAACTGCTAAGATTGAAAGCAGGAATTTGATGGGAACACCGTCAATCTTCCATTTCGAAAACGAGAAGTCGACGTGAACTCTGTATTTTCAATTGAAAACCACGCTTTTTTTCCCCGATGACTCTCTTGAAAATACCACCATTCGGTGCAGAATTTGAACCACAACCCAAGTCCAGAAGCGTATATCGGCAGGACAACCTCGAATCCACTGCTGACTTTACTGTTGTGTCATCATATCGTGTATATCATACGACTTTATTTTATTGATATTTTCATCAGACTAATTTTCTCAATCGAAATCTACCAATCGAAAAAAATTGTATGAGGTTTAAATAAATTCTTAAAAAACTCATCAGATGATCGTGATGGACCATATACAAAAGATACTGCTAAACCACACAAAGATGCTAAGACCTGAACTAGGAGCCATGATCGGTTCCGACCTTGCTTAAGGATCTCGTCAGACGGCATAGTTCAATTCATTATTATCATAAGATGACAACGAAATTGCGATCAACCTCTAAAATGGAGGAGATACAGTGTTAGATTTGTATGATTACATAGGGCACTACAAAAGTTTTTTCGCCCAGCTCTCTTAAAAGACTTGGCCAAGAACTAACTATACCGCTATAATGTCCAGACATATTTAGGATTAAGCGCAAAATTTCAGACTTCGAAGTCTTGTGCTTTGTTGTAGTCTATTGTTTCCTTTGTACTAGGTATACGTGATTCCCAATATAACACATAATGGGTTTAATGATCAGGTTTTATGTATCAATTTTTAATCCTTTAATAAGTTGTATTAGTAAAACAAAATACATCACATGATGCAGCGTGTGAAGCTCTACAATTTGCATAGGATCACTTTTTTGATAGTT